CTTTAATAATAAAGCAGAAATAATCACAGAATCAAATGTATGAAAACTTCATCACATCTTTAACCACAATACTTGGGTCACGATAAAAGTTAACGAATTTAAAAAAAATCATAAATTTTGCACAAAAGTATTATTTAAAAATAGAAAATCACATAAAAGTGCATCAACTGTCCTGTTTAGTAGAAGAATTTAATGTTAAACGAACTAAAAGCTGTTTTTTTAAAAATCATACATTTTGCATAAAGATATTAAAAACAGAATAAATCTGTAATTAAATAATCTTAACGTGAACCACAGCGTGAAGCAAAGAAGCTGTTGAAAATGTTCCTAAACGCTGAGATATTCTCCATCTGCTGGGTATTTTTAGCCTTTTTTTAATGATGCTGCTCCTCGTTAACGACCCCCAACTTCATCATCATCAAATGAAATAAAACCTTCATCTCTGCCAACCGTGCCGTTGTCGTGTTGTTTCAGTTTCCTGACTCCCTGAGCGGGAACATGTTTGGTTTCCTGCTCAGGGTGAGACGTCATGTTTCTGTTTCAGCTGATGGTTAAAACAGTTTCTTTTGTTTTTAATTCGTTTCAGAATCTTGGGAGAAATGGTTTTTGTTTCTGCTTCAGCTGAAAGTGAGCCGAAGAGGAATTCCACTTCTGTTTGAGCCTTAATTACCAAATTCAGAGGAGGGGGGGAGGATTAAGAGAGCGATTAGGGCCTGCCGGCGTGACGGCCCTCTGAACGCTCGTTCACTCCAACAGCTCTGCAGCGAGCCGCTTCAGAACAGTCCAGAAGTTCAGTCTGGGTTTTTTTTTATGGTTCTGCTTCTAATGGTTCTCATTACAGGTTGAGAGGTTCATTCTTTACACGCTACGATATGAAGAACGACACGTTCACGCTGCTGACGCAGACGTTTTTCAACAGAAACCAAACTTATCAGAGCGTTTCATCCAAACTGCAGAGTGTTTCTGAGCCTGATGGAGGGTTCAGGTCTGAGGAGGATCCACGATCTGGAGAGAAGATGGAGGCTGAAACAAGGGGGTGTATTGGCTAGAGTTGGGCGATATGATCTAAATTTTATATCACGGTATTTTCAACATTTTCACCAGTTTCACTGTATTTGACTGTATTTTTCTTTTCATCACAGCTCAGCTGATAATAAAATGTACAAACCCTGCTTTTTGACTTTTTTTCTTTTACTGTACCTCTGTCTGTGTCTCTGTTTCCCTCCTCTGTGTCTGTTCTTCTC